TGTAGAAAAAAAAAAAAGAAAAAGAAAAAATTTTAGGCCAACAAAAATATTTAGTACAAAAATCTCCCACTTGAAATGGTAGATGTTAGAAAGAAACATAAAAATAACCCATTAATGACAAGAAAAACAGACCCTTCTATTTCTTTCAGTAGCTTTCCATTTTTTAACAGGAAAGGAAATTCTACTTTGCCTTAAAAATAACAAAAATATAAAATATAAAACACAGCTTCAACTTTTTGGACCTCTCTCACCGGTAAAACCTAGCCAACTAATGCTATTTTTTTTACTCAAATAACTGCTCTCGCAAGTAAATTTAAATACTATTTTGGTACTTCCAAAACGTTCATTTAATTTTTTCCTGCATTTTCAACTTTTGTTCATTTTAATTCTTGTACTTTCAAAATGTTTGTTTTTGTCCTATATATTTTAAAAGTGACCAATTTACTCTCTATTTACAAAATTTTAACACGGATTTTATATATATATATATGAAAAAAAAATTTAAATCATTCAATACAAAATTATAACTACATTTCAAATAGTGAATGAAGCGTAATGCTAAGATTATAATCGAAAGAAGTGAGATAAAAATAGAAATAAAGAGACCATAATAGTCACTTTTTAAAAGTACAAGAATCAAAATGAATAAAATTCAAAAGTATAAAAACCACAATTGACGTTTTTGGAAGTATAGAGATCAAAATGAACCAAAGTCGAAAATAGAGAGACAAAATAGTGTCTAAACATTTTTAGTATTACAATTCAAATACAAGGCATAGATTTGTATATTCAATGTTCAGGAGACGAACCTAGTACTTTAACCGATGAGTCTTTAACCGATTAAACTAGACTCATCGTGACATCATATTCAAGCTACATCAATCATTTTTTTTTTGTCCCTTTCTTCATAGCAGCTACACTCCAAATAAACTTGCACTTTATACCTTCCATTTGACCTAAAAATGGGCTCAATGGGCTCTCTAGGTAGGAAGCTAAAACTCAAACATTAATTTGAGACTTTGGCTGGAATCTGTAAAAATGGTATATTTTAACTCCTTGTCAATACTTTTAGGACCTATACCCACGACACCCGCACTCGCCCAAGGCCCCTTATCAATACTTTTTTCCATATATTTCTACACTTCCGCACATCCTAGGGCAAAAGTTATGATCCTTTCTTTCAATTTCCTCCCCTTAGTTTAACTCCGAATAAATTGTAGGAGAAGGCTGCCACAATGTGCTAATAAATTTTACCTGACTAGATGCAAGAAAGAGAAATTACAAAAACATATTTCACATGTATCCATGAGTTATTCAGGCCATACAAATTTTAAATCTGCATCCAATGGTTATTCGAGGTAGTCACATTGTGGAAATCTCATTCAATGAATTTGAGGAGAGACAGCAACGGGTTGAAGGGTAGAAAGAACGGGATAGGCGCAATGGAGAAACCTTGAGATTGATTGTTTTGGAAAGAAAAATTCTACACATGACCCTAAACAATATTGTAAAAATAATGTTTCTCCCAAAGTGGCTAATAAAAAACTAATGAGAGGGACCAAAGTATAGCATGTTTTAAATCTTAAAATTTTAAACCTTAGGACCAAATGAAACCAATTCTCAAGCCTCCAGAACTAAATTGGAATTGAAAATACCATCTCAGACTGCACAAGGAAATATATTGTATGACTGTTGAAAATCTCAATGACTGATCACATCTATTCCAAATTTCAGTTAACCTGGTAAGTATAGTTTTGTTTTTTTTTTTTTTTTTTTTTTTTTTACTCAAACAGCTCAACAGTATGTTATCAATCGGTACAGAACAACTGGCATCATGAGTTATCAAAATCCAACCTTTACCTCATTGAAACTGGATCCATGTTTAACATATTGTAAGTGCAGTCCAACTTTGAGAGCTCTACCAGGGTTTGCAATGGCCTGAAATGCATAACAAAAAATCAAACTGAACAACCCAGAAAAAAGAAAAAAGCAATTACAAGAGTTTATATCAAAGACTCATTGAACTTTTTTTTTTATGAAATTTGCAGATTGTAGTAGAGAATAATAGACGGGAATATCATTTTGCAGCTTTAATATACTCTTAAACATCATCAATTTAGACAGTCAATCCGGTTGCATATAAAGAGATGGGCAGGAACTGAGATTTTCAGTGCCTATTATCTGGATGATCCCAGACCCAATAATAAGTTCATGAGATCAGAGAATCTTACCAACAAATTGCATTACTTTGGATAGAGGATGTCATAGTGACCAGGACGATAGAGCAAGGTAATGTAAGGGATCTTAATCTCAGAGCCAGCACCATCACTTGAGACATCACTAGCAGCAGGAACGAAATCATGGTGATTTACGCTGACACCACCAGAATCACAAGAGCTTCGATCAAGGTATATAACACGGATTGGGACACCCAATGCATCAGATAATGCAATGATGTGTACATGGTCACTCTCTTCACCCATTGGTTCAACTGCTGATTTGCAGAACTGTTCCCGAAGGGACAAAAGAGAAAAGTGATTGAAAACCATGATAAAACAGGTTTTCTTCTTAAATAAGAAACTAAAAGTGCATTTACAATAGCTTACAAAGCTAATATAAGCTCAACCCAGCTCTACTTTCACCCCCACAAGGAAAAAAATCCCATCATCATGAGTGACCGAAAATCTTTTGAAGTTTAAAGCCCAAACAAAGAACAAGGCTTATTGTTCATTTTTGGATTCAGTTGCACAAGAAAAAAGGGAACAATAAGACTAAAGCAATTTCATTTGGATATAAACGTGATGACATAAGATAAAACAATGGCCCTAAGGCCTCATTTGTTTAATGTGAATGAAAAGTGAGAACCGAAAGGATAACTGATAGGACAGAAAACTTATGTAACTGAAATAGAATTTCTAAAATTGTGTTTACTAAAATTATTATGGAAATTGCATCAGAATGAAGAAAATTTTTTGTTGATTATTGTTTGTTAATATTATTTAGAATAAGTCAAATTTAAATAGATGTAAGGACCAGTAAAAAAAGTAAGAGAGTTTTTTTTTTTTTTTTAAAGAAAATTGAATGAATAATGAATAGGAATGTGATTGATGTGAAGTATGCTCCAAAATGAGAGAATGAATCTCCATTATAGGTGGGTTGCACTTACTACGTTCTCCAGATGAAGTAAACAACAAGAATGGAATTGGGGAACATCCGTTCTTATTCCTATCCTAGGTATATATGACTTAAAATCATAATTATTGCATATTAAATAATAATTGTTTCTGCTAGAAACTATACTTAAAATGGTTACTATAACCGAATCAATTGGGATTTCAACATAACTTGTATGGTTGGATATAATCTAAAGATAATAAAAGTACATGCATATCGGTAAACTTGAAGGGAAATTTTACAAATTTAACAAACCTGATCAACTGTTCCATTCGTCAATCCCATAATAAAAGGCTCAAAAAATTCTGAACGCTTTTGTATTTCACCTGATGAAACAAACCTGAAAAACATAACAACTAGCCAAACAAATTTGTCAGTAGAGACAGAAAGAGGCAATTGAATGTTGAATATACAAACATCACTCACCATAATCAGAGATAGACTGGTCTCGACTCCGAAGTACAAGCTCATCGTGACTACATCCAGGAAAAATAATAGTCAAAATGCAATCATAAATGGCCAAATTTCATAATTGATAGCAACTAAATATTCCACAATAAAATACAATTCGGGAATCAAAATTCCAAGGTAGAAGGACAGGTCATTGACACCTTATAGAAGTTTCATTTCCTTGAAGAGCACTTTCCAGCTGCTCAAGGAATAGCTGTAAAGATATTTTAAACATATCCATTAACAAAAAATTATATGAAAGTCACCAACCATTAATTAATGATACCTAGCTAGGTTGAATCGAAATGAAATAAAGAATTCAATAATAAAGAAGGACGAGTCTAAACATCTCAATTCTTTAAAGTAGTATCATCCGGGACAAAGTTTTTAAAAGTGTGAACTGTGAAGCACACTGAAGAACAGTAGCTCGGGTTTATGTGCGAAGTACAGAAAGGAGTGTCAAGGAGGTGAAGTGCATAGCATGTAATATTAAAAATTAGCACAATCTTTTTTCTGAAGATATTAAAATTAGCATGAGCTGTGAGTTAGAGAAAATAACGGATTAACTATTAAAAACAAACAAAATTCAAGTACGAAAACTACAAAATCACAAAAGAAGGGGAGTTGAGATATTCCCAGAAGCCCAACTGGTTACAAAAGAACCTCCCAATTGGTAAAAATATGCAGGACCTCGTGAAATATGCATGAACAAAACTAATTTAAAATGACCATGCATCAATGATTCAATGTAACTCTTGACAATGTCTCCCAAATTCAAGCCACAAACAAACTCAAAAATATACATACTATAGCATAAAAGATTTCAAAGAAAGGATCTCAGCAATAAGATAGACGTAGCTATCACTATTTATATTTGGTATCATGGTAATTTTGAGGTTAGTAAGAAAAATTGGTTCTTAATGTCCACTGACTAGAGTTAAATGGCAAAAATAAACCATATGGCTTAAAGCAGGGACAATTATTTGTATAATATATTAATTAAAAAAAGGGCATGGTAACAATTTACCGCAAAAAAATCTTCGAAAGTAAATTCCGTATATCCTAGACTTCGAAGTGTTTTCCTACAATTTTCCACATTTATTTTGATACGATCAACTTCAGCTTTGTCTTGCGATTCTAAAATATGTTCCTGATTAGAAAGTCAAGTCAGTTGCAGCTGAAGGTCAATGGTGCACAGCAAGTACAATAATCAAGCTGGTGAGATGCATTAAAAGAATTAAGACTTACAAGATATGAAAACATGAAGCTACGGAAAAAGCAATTTCCATCACCACGTGTTCGTCGAATGGCAGCATATTGGTCACTTAGCACCTGCATAACATATAACATAGATTATTATTCCAAGAAAAACAGCTCTCCAAAAATAACAATGGAACAAAGACACATATAGAACCTTAATTTTCTCCAGCAAAATAGGACTCCCAGATTTATATTCAGCTGCTAAATAAGATAGTGGTTCCTGCAACTCCATCACCATTAAGGTTCATTAGGGAAATAAAGAAAAAGCAATTGATAATAACAACTTAGAACTATGAAGCCATGATTTTAGGTCATCCAAAATGTAAAATAAGCAAAAAACAAAAGAAGATGTAATTTTTTTTATGAGAGAATCGATTTTTGAGGAATGAAAATACAAATCAAGCCAAGCTAAAATAAAGTAAGAAAAAAAAATAATAATGAGTTCCAGTTGTTAAGAATTAAAAATTAAACACTACATAAAGGGTAGGATACATAAGCCCGAAGGTTAGACACCAGAAAAAAAGCTATTAAACATACACAAACAGTGGCTTTTGAAGCAGACAGCAAAGAACTTTTTCCACAATTCTTTTTTTTTTTTTTTTCGATAAGGATCTCTTCAACATTTCTAAAGTCCAAATAATTTCCAAACCTATACTAGACGATGGTAACTATTTTTCTTAACAATGTTTTGTGAATTTAATTTACCAAGCATGGTATGATTAATAAAATAATTTATGGGGAAATAAGGGAAGAAGAAAGGGTAAAACTTGGTTGCCCAATCGAATAGATGGATGTCAAGAAGAAGCATGATCCTTATAATGAGAATGAGGATGAAAAAATGTAAACAAATCCAGGAATAAAACTAAACCCTAGATGAAGGGCAGCGCATACCAGTATATGAGGGAAATATACACACACACACACACAAAGAAAAATAAAGCACGCGCAGACACTGGAAAAGGAGGTAAAAGTGTGGCAACATCAAGATATAAAACACAAGAGATCAAAACTTAGTAAGGTGAACTTGCCTTGTCACCAACAAATGGAACTTTCTCAGCTTCCTGAACAAAAATTGCTGATTTCTGCTGCATGATATCATCATCACCAAAATTTTCCCAATTATCGAACTCTGGTGTTTGAATGGATATCGTAGTCTCCAGTTTCCCATCTGCATCAAGATTTTCCTGATTCTGCATTCTCTTAAAGGAATACCTTGTTTCCTCAGTTTTTGAGATTGGGTATGAAAAACTTATTCAAGAATTTCCCTTGGAACTTCACTGCAACGATACAACCAGTTCATAAACTTGCCTGCTTGGAGACCACCTGCTGACGTTTGTAAAAACATTATCTGGTAATAGATGCGTATAGATAGCGTATCTCATCTTTGAAGCTAACTTGTTCAGTCTCAGACCATGGGATATGAATAATTGACTGCCACTGAATATAGAACATAAAACATGGCTGTTGCTAAAAAATACTGCCAGTGATATACATTGTTTAAAGAGCTTATATGGTCGACATCCAATTTCTTAATCAAGTTCTTACAGACCATGATACAAGAAAATAAGCAACGCTATACAGCATATATCGAAGAACTAACAACAGCTGATAATAAGCTAGGATTCCAGTTCGCTCATCAAGTGAAACATAACAACGAGATAGAAAATTCATATCTGTAATCATTACGTTCTCACCGTGAATTTGCGATTTGACCGAGCCCCTTCGCATAAAAGAACCGGGGTAAACAAAGGGAGCTTAAAATTAATTTTTTTAATTTCCCTAAAACTTGGAGATTAGATTTAAAAAAAAAAATCCTTGATTCGAACTCGATTTGGGAGAAAACAGTCCAAAATTAGTAAATTCCCTCATCCTAGTCCGTAAGCATATAAACTCAGAGACATGAGCACGATTTTCATGCACAAAGGCCGCAAGCATCCAAAGTAGTAGCCACTTAATGGGAATCCAGATCCAATAATAATCCAATAAAATCGAACCAACCAATGATTAAATATGAGAGAAAAAGAGAGAGAATCTTACAGATTAAGATGCAGAATAGAGGATGGAGGTTGAAGAGCTGAACGGCAATCGAGGACGCTCGCGCACTGCTCACTGCTCACTGCTCACTGCACACTGCGCACTGCACACTGCTTGGGGGAAGCAGATGCTAAAAGAGCAAAGGCGAAGGGGAGGCATGGAAGACAGATGATACCATTGACGCGGCGAAGAATGACAATTAAATCAGAGGACGATGGAGAGACGGATTAGGGCTGCCGAAGAAAATGAAAAGAGGTCACCTATGGTGAATTTGAAACTGAAAACTCTAAATTCTGAATCTGAATCTTAATCTGAATCGAACCTTGTTTTGAAGAGGAGAAATGAAATTTATGTAAATGTATTTAGATTTGCCCTCTTGGTACGAGAAAGGCTATGCAGAAAAATAAATATCTTTTCTGTTAAAAAAAAAAAGAAAAAACATGTCAAAAGTGTCTAAAGTATATAGTTAGCCTTTAATTAATAACAAATATTATACATCCAATTAATCAATTTAATTATCTATTAAATTATCAATATTATTTTTTTAAAATCTGTTTGTTATTATCTCAAAAATAAAATATGTTTGTCATAATTATTAACAAGCTATTAGAGAGACCATAAAAAGTCTACAAGTTCGTATGTTTTTTTTATAGCACACTATGTGAGTTATATTTTATGAGAATTATATATGGTTATTTATTAATTTTCGTATTGTTCATGACAGATTTATACACATAAGTGTATAATTTGTAGGAATAAATCAATAAAAGGAAACTAAACACATTTAGAATCAATTTTGAGAAAAATCTAAGTTGGAGTGAGTGAGGAGGACAGAGGAACAATGTACATAACACCTAGATGCCTCAGATAGTACCTTGACACTTGAAGCACGAAGATACAAGCAAGTATCTGAGGTGGTAGCATCGCTATGTCGCTTGTAGACCTAGCGCAAGATCAAATTCTAAGATGATAGGGTCATAGTGCCCACTTATGGCGACATGGTGCTACAAACTTGAAGCGTACATCGAAATTTGAGATAGCGTCATGGCACTAACACAATCCTTTTTATAAATATAGGATTTTAAGCACCGTCAAATTGGAGAAACCATAAAATAAGAGAGAGAATAGAGCAAGTTGTCGAAAATAGAGGATAAGGAGAGTGTTGATGCTGGAATTCGGCCTCCTGGATTCTCACCAAACTAGCACCAAACTTGATGATCACGGGGCCGTAACTTGTAAAACTGAGCCGAGCTAAATTGGTGTGACCTCTGTCACACGGACTCTGATGCTTAAGTTAGAATGGGGAAACAAGTTTGCCCAGTATTAAGGCATGGATATTAGACCTACCTCTAGGGTTAGCATGTTGCTTTATTTATAGGGTTTCTTCTACCTGAAAATCCCTAAGGTTAGGTTAATGGGGTCGTTGGACCGCGGGAGTTTACAAGTTGGGCCACCTCTACTGACGGGAGAGGTAGGAGGAGGGCTTGGTCATTCGATCGAGACCTGCTCGGTGCCGAGTAGGGGTCGAGGCCGAGTCCTGGTCGGCCCATGTGGCAGCTTGGCCCCTCAATTTGTCCCTTGCTCGGTCGTTTGGTTTACTTGGGCCTTTTCGGTTTGCCTAGGCCCACTTCTTCTCATTTGACCAAATCTTATCCCATAACAATTGCTCACACTCTCAAGATGTTAATCTACCCACTGACTAGGTTCATCAATTTAGGAGTATTCCTTTAAAAGTGACGCGTCAGAAGTAAGAAACCAATTTGATTTCGCCACATCGATACTATAGGTGGGTCACGGGTCATTCATGATGGACTTGTCACTGACACCACCAGGCCCGTGACCGAGCTGCTCTTGGTCAGGTTCGTGACCAAGCCGTCCTCAGTCGGGCCCGTGACCGACCTATCTCCATCACATCTATGTGTGGTCACTTCTTCGCCAAACCCGTGAATGACCTGTCCACTTACCTTTCTCTCCCTTTATTTCTTCAAAACTTCTTAGCCTTTAATCAACTGGCCCCTTCACAAATCGTACCTAATGGATGGTCTACGTTGATTGGTTGCTTTATTTTATTATCTTACCTAGGTGGTGACCAACCTTTGACTGCCTTTACTTTTATGTCTCTTTACTACTTAAAGCATAGTCCTTAAGATAACCTTCATTTCTATGTGAGCTCCCGGATTCAGATCTTAATCATGGGCCCTTCCTCCATGAAGAATTGGAAGGACAAATGGTTTTTCATTGGGGTGACTAGCTTTCCCCCAATGACAATGGGTTGCACTTTCTTGTCCCAATGGAGTGTAGGGAGTTAGGTAAGTAGTTTCCCTGGCTCTCTCAGGACTTCCCTTGTTATCTTTTTAACACTCTTCTCTTTTGTTGTCAACTCCCCGTCATCACGAGCTCATGGATGCAGCGTTGGACTTCTACAACACGGTTATTCAGCTGCTAGAATTAGATCGGTGGGGTCCTGACCTTGTAACGGAGCAAAATTTGGTGGATTTCGGTTTGGCACCTTTTCATCAATCTTTAGGTGATCGCCGAATACCCGTTCAAGTCTTTATTCCCTAACTAATATTTCCTAATTCTATTGCTTCTTTTGTAGAGATGTCGAGACGCGCTACTTCCTTGTTCGAGAGGGAACGATGGCGCAGTATCCGAAGATTTGGTGCCGGGTCGAGTCAAGCTTCAGACGTTGACATGACTGATCTGATGGAGGATGATCCTCCCTCTCGACCATTCCAAGCCCGATCTTCGATGCCTCCAGTTGCTCCTCGTCGATCCGCTTTCCTCTAGGGGACATCTACTTCATCTTCTTCTCATGGTCACCCTAGGTTCTCCTCCCATGCCTCTACCTTTCCATTTTCCAGACCATACACAGCCGATACCAACGAGCTGGTCTACATGGAAATAGTGTTTAGCCTTTGGCAAGGACTCGATGAATCGTCTGTCAGGTTGGGTTCTGGGTACTCTGATCCCAGCAGAGTATTGACACCTGCCTTGGTAACCTTCATCAGGTCGGTATTACAGTTGTCTTCTCATTCTCGGCATCACTTATGTTTTAACTCTTTTTTTTCAGGTTTTCACCCACTTGGTGGTATTTTCTGGGAGAGTTGTTGACGAGATTAACCATCTTCACCGTAACTATGCCCCTCGAGATGAGTTGGATCAAGCTCTTTCTTCCCTGGACCGAGCCAACAACTTGTTGAGAACGTCCAGCACGACCTCAAAGTTTAGAAGAGGAGGTCTCGGGCCGAGTTGGTTGACCTGCAGAGGAAACTTGACAAGGCTCAACTCAGCTCTCCAATTATGAGTTCTTGGCGGGAGAGTTCAAGAAGACCATGAAGTATGTCAACTTGCAGAATGCCGCCATGGAGTGCGGTGTTTCGTGGTCTCTCCGCCAGCTTTCCAACGAACATCCTGGAACGGACTACTCCTTCCTTCAAGAGCGTTGATGCTTCCGGTGACATTAATGATGATAATGATAAGTAGAGCATTAATGAATTTAAGTTGTTTGTGCTACCCCCTTCTCTTTATCAATGTTTCGGGGGTATCGTTTATCGTTATCCTTTTATCATCTTGTCGGTTCTTGTTGTGCTTTCATGCCTCCAATTCCCATAGGTTTCTAACTCATTTTGGCTCTTGGCCAACGATTTTATACCAATAGGTTTTGTTGTTTGGCTCATCTTATTCATTATGCCTTGTATTTTAACCTTACTAAGGTCAGTGGCCCGCTTCTGGTTCGGCCTTGATCGAGATCTTAACCATTTTCCAGTTTTTGTCGATAGTATATCCATGCCCCCTACTTGAGGGGTACATTGATTGAAAATGAAAATTACCGCTCAAGTATATAAATAATCATACCAAGATTTTATTAAACCAAAAAGTACGGAATCAAATAACATGAATTGTTGAAAACATAAACTGAATCCTATCTAATAAAATGTACCTACTCCTACCAAACATCAAATTCAAACTATACTTATTCGAAAAGAAAATTCAAGTAGCAATGGTTATCTTTGGATAAAGGTTCTATTGCCCTCTATCGTTGCCCTTCAGTGAGGTGTAGTAGCATTCGCGCGACACTTATTGCTCTCCTTTAACCTCACCTATACCTCCCGTATTGGAAACTTCAGTGAGGATATTGTCTTTAGCGTGTGTATGGTCGGCCTTCATAATATTGCATTGTAGGAGGAAGAATATTCAACAACCAGGAATTCCCACCATTTTAGTGATGTTTTTCATCCCACTACCAAATGTTACTGGCAACTCGATCCTTCCTTCTGGGATGACCTGCTCTCCTCTGAACCCTAGTAGCGGAGCTGGGCTACTCTTCAACATTCTATCCCCCAAATCCATGGCATTATAGGCTATCGAGATATTATGTCTATTGAGCTGCCTTCGTCTACCAAGATCTGATGCACCTTTGTGTTGGCTATCTTTAAAATGATAACCAGTACGTAATTATGTGGGTGGAAGAGGTGGGTCACCTTATCTTTTGAGAAATAGATCTTGGAGGCTTGACCTACAAGGAAGGTGTGATAAATTCCGTGTTGTCCTGGGCTCACTCAGGCTTCTTGGGCACTCGCCTTTCTTTTCCTGCCAGATTCTTTTTCTGTGAGACCTCCTAGTATTGCTCTTATCTCTTTGGCAGGGGATTTGTTGTCGTACTCATTGTTCGAAGTCGCCTTGGGGTCTTCTATGAATTCTTTGAGGTAACCCCTTTGAATGAGGTCTTCCACTTCCTCCCTAAGGTCGAAACAATCTTGTGTCGTGTAACCATGATCTCGGTGAAAGAGACAATATCGTCTCTTACTTCTCTTGTTGGGTGGCGCTTTCATCTTTTCAGGCCACCTAAGCAACCTCTGGTCTTTTATTTCTATCGGAACCGTAGTCGAGGTGTATTTCTCGAATTTTCTAAGTGGATCCCTTTCGCCTGTTCCATCCCACTTGGCATCCATTCTGTCCCATCTCGACCCCTGCTGCTTTTCTCTAGATCTCTCTCTCTTGGCACTCTGCTCGGCACGTTTTCCTTCGGAATCTTATTTCGAATAAAAGAACTCCTCAGTGCTCATATATTTCTAGGCTCGGCTCAGAGCTTCCGAAAAGGTGCTTGGGGTTTTATTTCCAAACGAGAATGTCAAGTGGGAAACCTCTACTGATAGGAGAGGTAGGAGGAGGGCTTGGCCATTTGGCCGAGCCCTGGTCGGCCCATGTGGCTTGGCCCCTCCATTTGTCCCTTGCTCGGTCGTTTGGTTTACTTGGGCCTCTTCGGTTTGCTTAGGCTCACTTCTTCTCATTTGACCAAATCTTATCCCATAACAGAGCATTAAAGAGGATGGAATTGAGAGGGAATTTCTAATCAT